AAGTATTAGTATTTTTATATATCTTAAAATTACTTTATTAGTATTTCCTGAAATTATCAACCAGAGATAATAAAAAGGCTAAATACTTTGGTATAAAGTGGTATACATCCTTATATCACCCAACCCTACTACTGCTCACTGTCAGATAAGATGAGCAGACTTACTGATGCAGTTTATTTCTTATACACTGACAGTATTACTGCTATGTAAAAAAAAATTGTAGACTGTTAGAGCATAACAACATTTTATGTAATTTAGTATAGATCATATGGTATAAACACATTACAGTTTTTTCTGTTCCATCAACTCTTCCTTTTTGCAAAAATGATACAACAGTTTGGCTGTAGTCTGTGTGAACAAGCAAGTAATTTGTTTTCTTTGGCAAATAACTGCTCTTGCTATGGTTTCAAAATGTTAAATATAACAAACAAAATATGCAAACACATACTCTTGGACTCTCTTAGACTCATTTTTGTGCTGTCTGTATATGTGTATGTTAGCTGGCAGTGCATCTTATCTGAGGTCATTATCTAAATTCTCCTCAAAACCCCAAATCATCCGTCATTTCCTTCACCCACATCATCCATATTCGCTGCACCCAAGTGACTTTTCAGCTCATGCTCTGGCTAAAAGGCACACCCTATCACCCCATCTCGTCCTGTGTTGGCTGCGTGGGTGCCATCTTTGTCAGCTCGTGCGGCTCGTTGGTGGGCTCCACACGGCGAAGCTGGACTGCAGTGAATTGATTCACAGGGATTAGGGATTAGGACTTCCCTGGCTGCTTTGGTGGAGTAAATCTGGGGATTATGATGTCAACAGCCTGTGGCTGCAGGAGAGGAAATTGAATTGTAAGAGACGGGAGCGCCGATGGCCCAGGATTACTGCACAGTCAGTGAGAAATCAGAGATGGAAGTCCATGTCTGTTCCTTTCTCCTGCTCAGGAAAACCTCCATGGAGCACAATTCATTGCCCCTGGGGTGTAGGAATCACTTACAAAGTAGGAATAACTCTAAGTAAATGTTTAGGATGTTGATTGAGTGATAAGAAGATTTCTGTGTCACTGGTAATCCAGTCCCTCCAGCTCTGGCCTGTGAAGCATCAGGTGGTGAGTACTGTTAAGTGCAAGGGATCACTTGGAGCTGACAGGGATTTCTGCTTTATTTTTACAACAGCTAACATGGAGGAGAATATCTGGTCAGAGAATCCACAAATATGGGAAACTTTTACAAATGTATGACCCAACAATTTTACACTCATTGCTAACCTGCTGTGTCTTGTTGTGTTTGTGTATTCAAGCCAAGCCCTGCTGTGGCTGCTCCTGCTGCAACTGTTAAATTTGAAGGACTGACTAAAACCAACAGGATGAAGGTGAAATGGACCCAGCTGGGTTTGGTGTTTTTCCTCGTTTTATCACTGGTGATGACAGGATGCTTCTTCTGGCAATATCAGCTGCCAAAACTTCTGCCAGGTAAGACCAAACACTACTGATAACCACATTGCATGAGGGTTTTTTTTTTTCTTTCTGTCTGAAATATGTCAGGAGAAGATTGTCTTGAAGCTGAGCAATCTTCATCATAGCCAGTCTTTATATATTCACACTGAAGTTTTTCCAATGGACTTTTGAGGTACTGTTCAAGACCACATATTTGTTCAGGTTAACTTAAATATAAAAACTGACCTCTGAACTTTAAAAAGAAGGATGGGCAAGAGTGTAACAAGAGGATCTATGAAATGGAAAATAATATTCATAGGTATCTTTTCGTTAGTGTAATCACCTGAATATAGAAATCATTATGTCTTTGTTACCATAGAATGAGCCGTTTTTATCAACAGACACCACAGGTTCCCTTCCATAGAGTCTGCCATGTTGAACCACCATGTTTCTGAAGTAGCCCAGAAGGCACAAACCAAACACTGGCTGTAGATGGGGCCATTTGTGTTTTTAGAAAGGGAGGGTGAAACGAGGGAGTTGCAATCTATAAGTGTTATTCAGGAACTATCTGTCTGTCATAGGCTGAACTTTTCTTCAATGAAGCATTCAAGTCTAATTATAAAGTCAAACTTACCAAAGTCAGTCGTGAGAAGAGTGAAAACATTTTTTCCATCGAGAAAAGCCCTCAGTACAGTTCATTGCTCTTCTTTTTTAAATTAAGAAATACTTTTAGAATACAGTTATGATATAACTGATGCTACCAGCATCTACAAAACACTGACCATTAGCATCTACAAAACACTGACCATTAAACCGCGCTTGTGCCGTAGCTTCCAGTAGTCTTCATAGGGTGTTGATTGATCCGGGTTACGAACGCAAACACCACAAACGCATAGGTTGAAGCGAGATAGATTCTTGCGTGATCTCGGGACTTTGTGAGTTCAGCTGCCTCACAAGATTACATTGTAACTGATAATAATTGTGTAATACAGGGGCAGGATGAGCTACAGGTAAAAGAGACCGGCAAGTAACTGAAAATGGTCGCTGGTTCAATTCCTGGTACCGATAGGAAGGTGTAATCCAGCTGTGAGATGGGGACTGAAGCCAGAGCAAGGCACTGAACCCCAAAACTGTTACAGGGGCACTACAGGCAACTCTGCGCTCTTAAATTCAGTGAGACTGTGACATCCAGTTACTGTACGCTCTACCTTGTTTATTGCATTTAACACTGAATCGCAGCTGTTAGCTTGCAGCAATGCTCTTTCTTATCTGATCTCAACCTCAGATCCTATTGCAACTTTGATCAAATCAATAGATTATTCTCTCATAATTAACTGATATAGATCTTATAATTAAGAGATAAAAACCATTTGTTAATAGTATGATCTTTATCTTGTTACTGTTAGATAAAGCCCACAGTTGTGCTTGCTGGGAGCGCTGGCAGCATCGTAACAAGTTCAAGATCTCAGATGGTAGTGTCAATTAAAACAGGGTAAACAATTGTAACTTGACAGAAAGGTGATCATTTCTCAGACAGTACAGGTTGTAGTTTAAAAGTCAAAAGAATACAGACAACATTCAAGATTGACATTTGAAATAAATGACAGTGAAATGTTTTTTTATTTGTGATCCCTTTAATCCAGGAAAATCAGTGTAAACGTCAAACACAGCGCCAGAATATATCAACCCTTCAGCTGTAGAAGTGGTGCTTCAGATCATTCAGTTTAGTTTAAAGGTGTTGACACTTAATTAAGTCACCTCAACAGGCTCTTTAGTGTAATTTCTTCAAACAGAGTGCACAGCCAAAATGCTTTATTCTTTAAACCGCACTGTATAAGTTTATAATCTCTACATGACTCTGTATGAATAAAGTAACATCAGGTGTCATTATTAATGGGAAACGCACAGCTCCACAGGTTCTTCATTCATACACCTTTTTATATACCAAAAAACAATTATTTTTCATGTACAGCAGTCATTTGGAATGAAAAGCCAAATGGCGGCCTGAACATACTGAAATATCGTTGTTCATTTAGACTTCACAGTGAGAGCAGGATGCACCTCTTTTGATCAGCGACTTGTACATGATACATCCTGTCAAATCGTATCCCGTAAGATCAATGGGATTCATCGGGAAGCAGTGGGAATTAATGAATCCCTAAGCCGTCCAATTATACCACATTATGCTGGGCTTCTATGCCGTCAATACATTTTTCTATCAAATACCAAGTTGGAATTACAATAGCCTGTCCCCCCTTGTGCTTCCTTGACTCTTTATTTCTCTCTTTCTCATTTCCCATCCGTCGGCCAGATGAAGGGATGGGTCGCAATGCCAATTCAGAGATGATGTGTCCCCGTTTCCCTGAGCCTCTCCCGCTGGAGCATCCTATCCCCAGCCTGAAAGAGGCCCTGGAAAAGGTGAGAGGAGTCATTCATCGTGCACAGATTTAAATCTGTGGTCGTATTTCTATCATGCTCACTCAAGTCCAGGGAAATTTACAGGCTGGCTGTTGTAATCCTTCACACCAAATGCTGTTGCAGTCGGCAGAAGGAGATTAAAGACATAGTAGATGAAAAACTAAGTGTCACGAGACAAAAGGTTGTGCTTCTTTTTGCAGGGAGCAACGGAGTTCCCACTTGATCGAACACGTGCAATGAAATAAATATCGACACCCCAAAAAGAATCTGAGAATAAACAGTCATAGGTACACATTAGTAATGAGGGCATAACTGTAGGAATCAAAGAATATCAGCAAAATCAAAAATCAAAATTTGACTCATTAATTTAAAGTTGAGTAGAAGTTTGCCAGTACTGAAAAAAAAGCTTCTTTCATCTCAAACACTTAAAACCACATGAAATGTTTTTGTATTCATTACAGTGAACCTTTCGCTAATGGCTGCCATGTGAGCACCTTGAAAATAAATTGAATCGAAACTTTCTTTAATTCATTTTGAAGAATAATTGTGTTTTACCTTCATTTCACAAATAAAAGACGCTGATTTCTCCTAATGGAATATAATTTATAGACTGTGCTCATTAAACTAATATCTTTGGCAAAATGGGACATCAAAGTAATTGCTCTGGGGTTTCATATTGCAGTTGATGAAAGATATTTGCCAAAGTAAAAGCGCACAGAACTAAATATAAAAACACTGTGAGAGACCACATTTGGGCGTTAATCTTGGCTGTGTCACTTTGTACATGTTGTTATCAACCATAGACACATGGCTTCATGTCTGTCATACCTAAAGGAAGTTACATTGTCTGTCCTGCAGTGGTGGAAGAAGTATTCAGATCCTTAACTTCAAGGAGTTTTTAACTGGTGATAAATGTGATAATGATGCCTCTATATGACCTACATAAGCAGACAAGACCATCATGGAGAAGATTGGCTATTTCTGTGTAGTTATTCTTAATGCCTGCCTCTGGGTCGGATTTGTCTAATCCCCCCTTGAAATCAATGAAACGAGGCAGTGGAAACAGTCCATACGGGCTGCCTGAATCTGTGTTGCTACAAGTAAAAGCACCAATGTTATAATGTATTATAAATATAATGTATTTTAAATCCCACTTAAGTAAAAGAAGTATTATGAGCAAAATCTACCTAAAGCATTAAACGTAAAAGTACTTGTTCTGCACATTGTTAATACTGATGGATCAATGTGTAAGCTGCATTTTAATGTTGAGGTGGAGCTAGTTTTACCTACTGTGTTAGTTACAGTTAGGTGTGTTAGTCCAGTGGTTCCCAACCTAGGGGTCGGTCCCCGACAAAGGGTCACAAGGTAAATCTGTGTTGATGAAGCAGAAAGGAAGAAAATGTTAACATCTGCAACACAAATCTGAAGTAAAAATTTATCAATTTTAGTTATTTATTAGTTTGCAGAATGAGTGAAAATAATTTCTTAAAATCTATTTTTATAGACTTGCCTTTATGTCTTTTTACTTTATTCTATTTTATTTCATTTTTTATTTTAACATTTTATTTTAATTTTATTTGTATGGCTTCTATTCTGCTTATATTGTTGTATTTTGGTATTATATTTAATTCAATTTTTTCTACCACAACGTTAATTTTGTTTTGTCTGCCAAAGCACTTTAAGCTTTTTAATTATTATTATTAATAATTAAAAAGCTTAGAAAGCTTAAAAAATGTATAATTATGCTTATTACAGGGTTGTTATTTTTAGTAACAGTAGCTGTCACATAAATGTAGTGGTGTAAGAAGTAAAATATTTCCCTCTGAAAAGTAGAAAAAAGTAAAAAGTAGCAACATGGAAAAACGGGATCAAACCACCAACCTGATTAGTGAGCAACCGCCTCTACCTCCTGAGCCACAGCCGCCCCAAAAGTGTTCTCAGGAATATGTTATGATGTGCCTTTAGTCTCGATGAATCCAAATTGCATGAGGGCGGAGAATATGACAAGAGGAAACTCAGAAGCAGGGCTTGTGCTGGCAGAGAAATGTACATTTGGGTAACAATGCACAATATCCAGCAGTTAAATGAATGACCCATTGCGTTTCATACGTAGAAAATGTGATTAATATGTTGCTCACAGCTTCGATTTGCAGATAAAGTGACTTTTCTTTCTAAGTGAACATAATGATAGAGCTGTTGATGGGCAGGTGGCACATTGGTGGTAAATTCAGCTCTTGAAAATTATATGTAAAAGCTTCCACTTCATGTACCTACTCCACTTTGTGGAGTCTAAGACTGTGTTCAAACCTCAATTTTAAGATCTCATTTTAAGTTGAGAACATTTTCATTTGAGGTTTTACTTTAGTATTATTTCTAATGGCCAGATGATTTTCACTTGCTTGTGAGTGTTCAAGGACTGCAAATACACTTGACTTGACTTGTCTTTTAATTAAAAGAAAGAAAAACATTCAAACTTCCGCCCGAATATTTTATGTGCAATATAAACGTATCTATTACACTTTTTTAGACATTGAATAATCTTTTCAAATAATGAAATAATATATATATTTTAGTTGAAAACCATGTTAAAAATGTTAATGTACATTTAGGCAAATATGCTTATCCACTTTCTTGTCAAGACAAGATCAAAACCACTCTTGTAGTCTACTGAATGAAACTACAGCCAGCAGGTTAGCTCGGCTTAGCTTAAAGACTGGAAGCAGAGGGAAACAGCTAGCCTGTGTTCTTTAAGGCAAATCTTTTTTCTCCATATAAATTGGACACATTTCCAGAAGAAACTCCTCACTTCCTGCTCTGTCTCTTCCAGGTGGACGTTATGCTTCGGCAGAACATCAACCCTATCAGCCTCCCCTCTCTGTCGGCCATTGTGATCTTAAATGACACCGTTTTGTGGACCGGCAATTTTGGAAAAAGGAATAGCAGTGACCCTCTCTCCGGACCCCCCAACGAGTACACAATTTACAGGTGAGTGCTGCACTGAAAAACACCAATGTCACAGATTTAAAACTTTCATCTTGTCATCAGGCCACTAAAAGTACAGAAATTAGAATAAAATACCCATCAATAAATTTATATAAAATAAGAACAGATGGGTAAAACAACAAATATAAGAAATAAAATTAAATAGAACTAAAGATTAAAATAGGTGTTTTACTTTAATAAAGGCTTTTTTTAAGTGGTGATTGAAAAGATGACTTCGAGAAATGGTTGTCGTGTCAATTAGCTACTCAATTATGCTTTCTGCAAATGGAGCACTTCACACTACCTCAAATAATTGTCTCATAACATTTCATATTTCCCTGTAGTTGGTACAACATTATATTGTTCTTTCCACTTAACTTCCTTTTAAATTATTAGGAAATTACAGACCTGTAATAAGGGTTTAAATGTCTCGACACACTGCCAGGAATAATATTTTGGTGTGGAAATACTTACTTATACTTACTTATTTTTCATTTTATTTTAGTTGAATCAAGTTTAGGTGTATGAACACCTCTCAAGGCCACTTAAACCCCAATTTTCCACATGACCTGTGGATCAGGGCTGTCACTCATTAAACACTGATGTCTGCTTTTGTGGATTTTCTGTCAGTAAAGTCTCTTTACATAGTTGCTATCACTGCTCTTTCTCACTAACCTGCTTTTTTTTTCTTTCATTGATTCTGTTGCTGCAGTCTAAAACATAAAACACATAGTTCTCTATGCTGCAGATGAATGTGTTTTCATTATCATATCGTCATCATATCACCCTAATTCATTGTAGCTTACTAGACCGATACAATTGTACAATTGATGCAATTTATATTTTTCATGTAAAAAAACAAACAGACAATTGTAAAGAGAGCTGGTTTTGACCGTCCTTCACTATCTGGCCACCCATATGACAAATTTCAGTGGGTGCAACACATCTGCACAGTAGCTTCTTTGATGTGTAATTAATGATGCAGCATGATGGTGATAATGTTACACCTGGATGCCTGATGGTTTTTCTGAAGCAGCTGCTTTAGAGTGTGTTCAGCAGGTCTCCAGGGGAAAGGAAATCTACATAAAACCAGTTGCATTTACAGTTATCATAAGAACAGATCATTGATAGTACTGTATATCAAATAATATATGATATAATAAACAAAAGACCTGAGCTACAGCAGATTTTAGTGGATTTCTCTCTAAAACAAAGAAAACTGGAAAATAAACTGAAAGCTAAACCTGGGCCAGTCCTCAGAATCACAGTGTACATAGTTTAACACACGAGCCATAAGTCCATTGCAATCAATAAACCTACAGCGGAAAGCTGCTCACACAAAATCAAAGCCGTCCCGAATGACAGATCATTGGGTCAATATGAGCTATGCTGGCAGCGTGACAGGTGGTTCTGGATTTGGAGAGTCAGACTGGGTACTCTTCAAACCATGTGTGTCTGAGTGGAAGTAAGGGCGGCATGTCAGCAGTTGGCCACATGAAAACATGACTACAGCCATGCTAGCAGAAGATAGAGATGTAGAGATATGTCAGTCTGTATGTAAAAAGCTTTTATAATTGTTATCTTGCCAACTGACTTGATTAGGTACTTACCTCTTACTTAGAGGTTGACTTTTAGTCTCTAAGCTGAGACTCTACAATTTAAGTGATAAAATATAATGGCATCTTTAATTTGATCCAAAATGCCAACATATCAAACTCACATTTCGCACAAAGCAGACTGTCAGGGAAACGTGAAATTGTCGATGCAAGACAACCCTGCTGACATGATCTTTTGTTAGTTCAGAGAGTCAAAGCCACAGAAGACATACAACCACATTCTCACAATGAGTAGCACTCACTGTGTTGTTTAGGTATAAAATTGGTGGAATAGCCTTTTAAAAGACAGCGCGTGCTGTGTGTGAGTTGTAATTACACCGGTAATTAGTGACCAGTCCCACAAACATAGACAGAAATAGAAAATCAAATGTCCTCATTAAATTGTTTCAAATGTCAAACTGCCAGACAGCAACATGCAAACACACATAATAAGTACAGCCCCAATCAATCTGCAACCATTGTATTACTTGTATAACAAGTGTCACCAGCACATTTAACTCTTTGAAGTGTGACATTTTAAATAGATTCAAGATTTACTGATTTCTTTCAGATGTATATATTTTTTTGTAAATATCAACTTTCATGATTTTGCCAGAGATGAATGTGAATGTTGAAAATTCACTTTCACTCTCAGTGTTTGCTGTCAAAACTCCCTTTTTAACATCTACCTACACTACCTACCTTTTGTAGTAACACACCTCAGGAAAATGTAAAAAATTAGGTGTGTCCACTGATCATCATGATGTAAAATCTATAGATTAAAGAATCCACAATTGGGGGAATATGTTATTTTTTAAAGCAATTTGTCATCATACTGAGGTTTAAATAGTTTGTAACACCCATAAAATGAGGTGTAATGCGTTAATTAGTGAGCTTTAGACGTGCTGGTAGGTGGATTTTGTTATTTTTGTACAGAGCAAGGCTAGCTGTTTTCCCCTGTTTCCAGTATTTATACTAAGCGAGGCAAACCAGCTGCTGGCTGCAGTTTCATCTTTACCCTACAGACATGAAAGTGTTATTAAGTTACAATTTTGTCTGTTGAAAAGCCATATATTTATTTTAATCGGACTCAACATAGTTTTTTCTTTTCAACCAAGTCTATTATGAGCTATTCATTTTAAGTAACTGCCAGGCAGAAGGCAAAAGACATGTTAATGGGGAATCAATAGAAAGTAAAAAAGAAAGACAAAGCTGGCTGGTGAGACACTGTAAACAAACATGAAGACACAATTTTCTGTCAGATTCTAAAACAATCACTCTGCTCTGTTATCTGTCTTTCAGAATTGCCAGCCTATCCAAAATCTTCCCGACGCTGATGCTGTACAGACTGTGGGAGGACGGGAAGATTGGCTCCCTAGATGACCCTCTGGAGAAATATGTGGATAACTTCACCATCAAAAACCCTCTGGGGAAGACGCGAGACTCTGAGCTAAAATATGTGACAGATGGCCTGATATTTCTGGACAGTGGGGAGGTTCAGATCCGCTCCTCCTCGGTCACCTTGCGCAGGATGGCCAGCCAGCTCTCAGGTACATTCAAAGGATGTTACAGAGCAACTTTGAATCGAACGGATTCCAGTGAGCCAACAGCTGGGATATGACACAAGGCTTTGAGATGTAATCAGATATAGTATGTCCCTTCTACAGTACATATAAGGCAGTTATTTTTGTGTGTTGGGCTACATTTGAAAGACAGTTTGTGTTTGTTTTTAATTCTGGTGCGGGATATGGACACTTGTACACCCACAGGAGCTGACCTGTAGGAACTAAAAGGATGGAATAAAAACAAACAAAAGAGGAGGAAGAAGAAGAGGTTCCTCGTATAAGATTTTTCAAAAGGTTTATAGGGATGAAAGATTAAAGCTCTTACTTTTTATTTATCAGTTTTAGAGTTCAAACAATTAGTCAATTGGCAAAAAAATGAATCAGCAACTAATTCAATGTTAAAGATCCCTTCGAGACAAATTAGTTAACAAATAGTCTGTTTGGATCAATAATGCATGTCTGATTGTATATTATATTATAATTATATAAATATAATTTCCACATTAAAGTCCTTAAACATTCATTGTGTAGGATTTATTGAGCAGTGAAACCTCAAGTAAATCCCAAAAGGTCCTATCTAGAGCCAGTGTTTGGTTTTTCCGTTCTGGGCTACTGTAGAAACATGGCGGTTTACCATTGTCGACTTCATGGAAGGCAACCTGCAGCCTCTGTAGATAAAAATGGTTAATTCTAAGGTAACAAAAACACAACAATTTCTATATCCAGGTGATTATACACTAATGAAAATGTACCTGTGAATATTATATTTGATTTCGGCAAATAAATCCTGTTAAATGTTACACACTGGAACTTTAAAAAACTTTTTCTACCTCATTAAAAATTCTAATAATCTATGAATATGCAAAATTTGATAATTTCTAAAATAAGTTTGTCTCCTACTTCACTGTAAAGTCCATTCTCAGTGTATGTGCACTCACAATTATGTGAATAATGTGAAAACATCCTTCTAGTGTCAAACCCGGCACCTACATCATTCTGCACTAAACATCCAACTGTAGGAACAAGAAGATAAACATATCTTTGAGTAGTATCAGAAGTAACTGATTTCAACACTGAGCCGAAGCAAATGGTTAAAAAAAGTTGAGAAATAAATCTTCTAGTTTATAATTAGATGTTGCAGGTAACAACAGTGAAATTAAACATTTAGTACCTGAGCTGTTCAGATATATACCGGAAACTTTCCACAGTAACATCCATATATTGACCAAAGAGCTGCTATGATCGTGCACAAAAACAGGCACCTATTTATCTGAAGAAGCTTTTAAATTTTTAAAACTTCCCTCTGTGTGATGAATTAATATAAAATACATGAGAAACGCCTGAGACAAGAAGAGTCATGAATCTTTAAATGCTCTGTGACAGCTGATCATTGAGGTATCAAGGCTGAACATAATAATCATATATTATTTAATATAAAAAGTGAAATGAAATGAGAAATATAATCACAATTCATCTGTTATGCTTGGTTTTTTTTTTTTATTTGACACTGTTTCACTGTGGGCTGATCCAGGCCTACCCAGGAGACTGCGGGCCACAAATCTGCTTTGGAAAGGAAAAACACAATCTGCGATCAATCTTCTACAAGATGATGTCCTTGTCGCAGACCCAGGCACCAAGTAAGATTTGCTATGCTGGGTTGATTTCAGTATTTCAATGTGTACATTTTCATTGTGCCAACTGGGATTGTAATTGCATGAAAATGTCTATTTTCAGTGTTGTTTGTTTATTAGTCCAGATTTAATACAACTAGCAGTGTTTGAAAGTACCTCTTCAAACGTCTAGTTTTCCTGAATTTGGAAGAAAGACATAAAAAACATATTGCAGTCATTTTTACTTGAATGCTTAATCCTTACATCAGTGTGATTTTGACTAAAGATGCCAGGATTTGAGGCATTTTACGACGATTCAGTGATGCCTTGAAGAGATCATTCAAAATAATTGAAGTGCACTATTACCTTCAGTACATACATCTCATTTTGTTTAAATATTACTATCATTTTACCTGAGTAGGGTTTAATAATTAAATGTCAGGTCTAATTACCAAAAATCCCTCTGTGAGTATTATCCTAATATAATATATAATATAACTGGCAAAATATTTTACCTTAAATTAAATAAAAAAAAACTTTCAAATTAAAGTTTAATATCCAAGAGACCAACACTTTTTATTAAACCTGCAGGGGAGTTTTGGGACTGAGCTCCAGTGTTTAAAATGTATGCTTTTTAGACTCCCTGAATGCTTTGTGGTTATTTATTTTATTTCATTTATTTTATTTGCTGTTATTGTTATTATTATACTTTTTATGTACAATATTAAACATAAATAATTTGATTTATTGTATCACAGTTAGCTTGAAGCTAATTTTTACGTGCAGTTCCAATTTTTTGTTATTACCCGACAACCTCACTGCGATGACAAGATACCAGAAAGTTCCTCCCAGCCAAGAAGCGTTCTTGTTGTTTTTTTGTATAACGTGTTAATTTGTGAGCTTTAGAGATGCTGGTAGACAGATTTGTTTGCCTTTGGACAGATAAGCTGTTTCCTCCATTTTCAGTCTTTATACTAAGCTATGCTAAATACAGCTGGCTGTAGCTCCATATTTATCCTACAAATAACAGAGTGGTATCCACCTTCTCATTTAATTCTCGATAAGAAAGCCAGTATTAAATATTGAACTATTTCAGAAAATCATTTTTTCTCATATTTTCTGTATGAACAATAAGATATTTGTGACACTCACCATCTCTTTAACTTCATTCCTTCCAGATGTCACTACAGCAACCTCGCCTTTTCTCTGCTGGCTCATGTGATGGCCGAGCGCGTGGCCTCCGTTGACTACCAGCGGTGGATCACAGACAACATCCTGGACCGGCTGGGGATGGAGGACACCGGCTTCGACATCACCCCGGGGCTTCAGGGCCAGATGGCCGTGGGAGTGTACTCTAGTGGAAAACCAGCCCCACTCTATGACCTGGGCTGGTACCGGCCTTCCGGTCAGATGTTCTCCACTGCCGCAGACTTGGCCAAGCTTGCCATGATGCTGCTGGGTGCTTACCACCGCAAGCTGCTGGAGCCAGACTCATTGAAGATCATGCTGACCCCGCTCTTCAGGTGCGATAAGGACTACTTTGCCAACCGCACTGGGACGCCGTGGGAGGTGAACGAGCAGATGGGATACGAGGTGGTGCGTAAAGATGGCGATCTGGACGGCTACTCTGCCACCTTCTCCCTGGTGCCCAGATTGAAGCTTGGTCTGGTGGTGCTAATGGCTGGCAGCCGGTCTCAGAACCAGGATCTGGTCACAAAAGCCTACAACCTCATCATCCCAGCTATAGAAAAAGCCTTTAGGGAGGCCAAGAAGATCCTCTTTGCCCCCCCAAACCCAGAACGTTACATCGGCTTTTTCACCTACAGCAACATCACCTTCTACGAGATTAAAGTTGGGACGGACGGAGTTCTGGTGATGCAACAGTTTGGGCCTCAGATAGAAGAGCTGATCCCAGAGAAGTACAGGACAATAAAGCTCAACTACCTGGTTGACCGGGTGTTCAGAGTGGTTTTTGAAAAAGAGTACCCCTGTGTTTTGCGAGTTGGCACGGCCTCGGTGTCCCTGGAAGCCCAAGATGGCCAATTATTTAACTTCTACACGTTCGACAAGCGGGGTTTGTCCCCTGGTTTTGATGCACCAGGACTGAACACGTATAATGTGGTCAGAATAGCCCGCAGGCCAACCTTCTCAAGCTGAACTGCAGCAAGGCTGCGTCCTACAGACAAGTCGTGTGTCCTTGGGATATGTGAGGGACTGTAAACAAAAAAAAGGATGTGAATATTGAAAGACCAAATGGAAAAGTTGGGGTCACAGTATTTGTCAAAGTTAGGATTGTGTGCTTGATTTACAGCAAGTGCAAAGAGTGACGTATAATGTCTTGCACAGAAAATTAATTTCTCTGCTGAATGATGTATTTGACTGTCCTCTTCACACTGGTCCTTCATTATGCCTCTTAACTGAACACCCACATTATGGTGATAAGGTGCTTGTGTTTTTCCTGCTTTAATTGAAACCTCTCTTACATTGTCTTTGTCTCTTCTGTCCTTGAGTTTTCATGAGAGAGAACAGCAGAACATTGGCTCCTGTTGTGGTCATTCACATGAATATTTACACATATTTAATTTTCAATTCTTGGACCATGACTGCAGTTTCACAGATTCCTCGGCTCATACATATTTATCCTCCATTGGTGAAGGGAAAAGATAATTTAATTCATTTGTGTGGCTATAAACCATGCTTTTGGCAGGTAAAATCAGGACATTTTCATGGCTCACAGTATGTATGCATCACTTTTACTAAAATACTGACGTTGCCACAGACGTGGAACTTCTGATTTAGTGGCACCAATCATGCACTTACATGATGTAAGATGTAAAATATTTTCCCTCCCCAATAAGAAGCGATTAAGGACAGAGAGGCTTTTGGTTTCCTGTGTGACTCTTTGCTGTTTAATCCCTAAAAAATGGACTCCAAATCTCTAACACCAATATGAATAATACACTGCCCAGACTGCTGCAGGAAAGTGACGGATTTGAGTGTACAAAAATAACCCTGCTAAGGCAAGTCCTGATATTTTACCTTTCATTTGAGATTGCCTATCTGATGGTGTGATGGAAATGGAATGCATATTGAAAACTTTGCTTACTCTTGAAGCATCAGGTGCGACAAGGGAGATCAAGGAAAAGTGAATGCCATGCTGACTAAAATATAAATCTATTGTATCCACATTATTCAGCTTTGGATGAAATATTGAAACTGGCATTTAAATATGCAATGCATTGTTGTCACAGCCCACAGATTGAAGTTCAGTCTGAAGGATAGTGGGAGGAAAAACTAATTTGGGTCATGCTGTATTGTAAGCCATACTGAAACAAAACATGTAAATTATACCCTGTGTTGATTCTATGCTATTATTGAGGCTTGTTATTTTGGGTAAGATGTCAGATGAGGCTAATGCAGCCGGCAGAAATGCAACAATCACACAATGCAATCATGATGATGAATACGACTTGTCAGCATTATGCTGCATTTATATTTCAGCCAGTAACAAAACATCAAACATAACCTGACATTAACATCTGTAAAGAAAATAATAGCTACGTGTGGACAGC